AGTTCCCTCAGTAGTTAATGCATTACATCATTGGTATACTTTCACTGTATATAACTAAGACAGTCACAATTTCACCATTCTTGTGTTCTTTAACAACTAGTGAACAGCAATGTTCCTCAAAGGTGGGCCCAGGCCAGTCATCTCTAAATGTGGGGCTGGGCTACAGAATCACAGACCCCGGCCGAAATTTAATCCGATCTCTATCTCTACATCTTTGTATGTATGTTGGTATGTATGTATGTATCTCATAGGTTGGTGGGGGAATTGAAACAAACTGGAAAGGTGTTTTCTCTTCTTCCTTTATGTGTATAGGGATACTCAGTCTTGGGTTTTAGAACAGCAGATGGAATACAAGTGAGCCATGAGCACTGAGTCTAAGGTTTAGGTGGGCTCTAATATTCTTACAGAAGGGTTTGTAAAGGGACAATAAAAGGAGAGATTTCATATTTCCAGAAAGAGGAAAAAAAAAGAGGTTACAGAATACTATTCTTTCCAAAGAAACAAGGACACACACTCAATGAATGGGGCATTTATATACTTAGATACTCTTTTTTCTTAAATGTTCATTTTTATTCAGTTGAAAGGCAGCAACACACACACACACACACACACACACACACACACACACACTACCACCTGCCTGTTTATTCACTAAACACACACAAAGGCTGAGGCTGGGCCAGACTAAAGACCAGAGCTAAAAGATAACCCAGATCTCCCATACAGACAGTAGGAAGCTAATAGCTTGAGCCAACATTGTTGTTTTTGAAGGTGCACATTGTCATAAAGCTGAAATGGAGTGGAGTTGGGACTTGAAACAGGCACTTGGATATGCAATCCTGGCTTCCCAGAGGGAATCCAAACTGCTACATTCAATATCTGCCTCAGCAGAACTAATCGCTGGCTTGGATCATAGCTGGGAACTTCTTACACAGTATAGTCACTTACTAACCAAGTAGGTTGGGAATTCCAAGAGAATGGAGGTATCCCCCAAAGTTCATGTTTCCCTACATGTGTCTCCATTTTCTGGCTGCTCAATTAATCACCTATTAATCAAGTAGCAGATCAGATAAGAGGGTAGACAACATGTTAAACATTCTCCTCTGACCCCAGCTTCCACCAAATATACACACATCTCCCCAGCTACTGAGTATCAACAAAAGTAAGAAAACTAAGGGTTTGGGGATACCAAAAATATACTGATTATTCCTGCTTTTGGGTGAAGCAAAAATGATGCTAGATGACATGGCCTATCTTGCCGCTCTGGAGGTCAACAACTCCTAAGGAAGGGGAATTCTTGAACAGGCTCCCTCACCCTAAAAACGAAGCCTAGTTTGTACTTAATGGGATTTCTACTTGGCTCATCTCATGCTTCAGTTTCACTTTCACAGAAACGGAAACACTGAGCACCACACCGGTCCCTTCCACTCTGTCCTCCCTCCAGCAGACTGACACTAGGTCATTCCAAATGCCACTCAGGGTCCAGGAATGTCTCACCAGGGAAGCTTGGTCAGGTCCTCACCTGATGCAGAGGAAACTCTTGATGCCATCACGTGAAGCAAGGCTGTGTTTCAAAGGGGGCGGGAGGGGACATGTACATGGAACCTGCTCATTGCCCTTATCCAAAGCCGCTCTCCCGTGAGTGCGGTATAATCCTTCCTTACTGTCTAATCAATCTACTTCTTCCCCCACAGTCCAGACGCACGCTTTCTCCAGGGGAGGACGAAGGCCTGTGTCAGCCACATGGAAATTCATTATCTCATCTGCCTGGTGCCACTGTTTCCAATAAAGTGTAATTATGGTGCTATTGAGCTCCTTCTCACTTTTGCCAAGCCAGGCTATACACTTTAGGGTGAGAGCAGTTACTTCCCAGTCAGTCTTCATTAAGCTCAATTGTCTCAAAACAATATCTATTGAATCACCAGGAGACCTGCTCATTGTCTTTTTCAGAATGTGTGCTAATGGAACAGACACTGGTGCCTCCCTGAGTTCAGGAAGCCAAGCGGCCAGGGAACTGGGGTGACTTGATCCCATGAGATGGTGCCCCTCTCACTCAGGCCCTGCCCTGGCCAGCTGACTTTCTCTCCCAGGTCAGCACTTGGCACTTCTCACCTTTAGCAGTAGGATTGTCATACATATGTGATTATGGTGCCTCACTATTGTGGGTGGCAAGGGCAGAGTGATTTGGTTGTGGCTCCACCTCTCAAGATGCCTCACTCTGGGCCAGAGCAGGGTTTTGTGGGCTGTTTGCTTTCCTTCCACCAGGGCTGAGTATGGTGCTGGTCATACAGTAATAATGCCCATCAGCTGCTTCTGGAGTGACTGCCAAGACGGCCATGCTTGTATCACCTTCACATACATCCAGTCTCACCCTGAGACGGCACTAGCCAAAGACTCAGTAAGTTCACAAGTCCACACAACTGAAGAACAAGATGCATTAATGCACCAAGACTCTACTTTGCACCTGCAAGATTTTCACACTAGCAGGGACAAAGACAGCCTTGTGGGTTATGATAAAGACTTTGCTTATACAGATTTTTGTAGAATAAAGCTGATTATTCAAACAGAAATGGTGAGAGTGAAAAGTACAATGGGAAGTGGGGTGCTGGAGGGATGTGTCTGTAATAAACCAAAAACAGTAAGATTTCTCAGGGGGAGGGAAAGAGATCAAATCCAATTAAGTATTTTCAGATTGCATTTGCCCTTCCTCTCGTACGCACGTTTCTTTACCTTGGGTCTCGACTGCATTTTATATCCTCACATCGATGAAACCATCTTCAGGGCAGCAGTTTCTCAGCTCCTCCTGCCTGGTGTGTTAACGTTATAAGGAACACAGGGTGGGTTTCCTCTTCGAGGCAACCAATTTCCTAAGCAATTAAATGCTGCTAATTTTCCAAACTCTGTGCTTGACTTGAAATAGTCAAGCTTGATATTACCTGACTCTTGCCTAAGACATACCCTCTGCTGGTTCATTCTACTGTAACAGCCATCTATTAAAATTTCCAATCTGTTCTCTCCTCAAGGGATCACACAGCACTTGGCAGAGGTGCAGCTTCCGAATTCGGTAAATTATACTCCTCTATATAAATATATATTTTTGAAATGGCAAGGCTTGCAAATTGCTTTACCAAACTGACATTCCAATCTGCTATCTTCTGGAAAGGAGTGGCGAATGCCATCCACCTCACATAAGCATAGACACTTCTGTGTCCATTTGTTAAAAATAGCAATTTCAATGCCAAACTTACAAGACAGTCCTTTATGAGGCCACAGGTCAAAGTTCTCTCACTGCTAGGTGTGCATACAATTAAATGCAGTTCAGTGCATGTAGATCATAAAATAATATCACACCACACACTGGACATTCAGGAAAACAAAATGCTGTGTTCCAGGGAACAGTCATACCTAAGAACATTGCTCTTTCTCATTTGAGTCACTCCTTACGGTTTCTGGGCTGAACAATAAAGTCAGAGTCTGTCCAAATTTGCATTGTAGATGCTTTTTGTTAAAGGGACAGCCACAGACTGTGTATCTGCACGTGTGAAACATGCCTTCTCAGAATGAGAGCATCAGCAAGAAACGGTAGAAGAATTTCTGGGGCAACTGCAGGTGAACAGTGCTTGGGTGGATGGGGGAGTGTCCAAGGTCAGGCCTGGGATGAGGGCTGGAGTTCACAAGCTGCCTTTCAAGCCTAGAATGTCAGTTTCCTAACTCCCTAACCTAGGCGTTGGCCAGCTTTTCATACACGGATTAGAATGAAAACTTCCAACCCACTTGACATGCTGCCATCAATAGCACCTACTCTGCAGAACACTGGAAGGATCGGTCCCAGCCTCCTCCCACCAGCCATCTGTTGTGCCTTCTCCACCACTCACAGTGGCCTCCAGGATTTTCCCAGAATCACTGTGTTCCAGATACGCAGCTTCATTGTCCAGTGCCTGCCTATTTCTAAGTGTCTTTATTCCTAGAGTGCAGTCTCTAACTAGACTGCCGCTGTGCTCCTTCTGCTTCTGGGGAAAAAAAGACTTATCCTGCAATGTTCAGATTCTGTCTGCTCTGTGAAGATTTTCTTGATGCCTTCATAACCATTTGCCCTTATCCCAGTGTTTCGGAAGCAGGCTGTACACACCTGGGTTGGCAGTCTCAGCACTCACTTTGTAGTATAGTCAAATGTTTACTCACAGGCACCTGCATGGCCTAGCAAGTGTGAACTGAGCTCTCTCAGTAAATCCAGACAGCATGCAACAACCTGTGGAGGTCTGCCCATCACTTACCTTTGAAATACCTAGATGTCACTCGGCTCATGCAACTTTTGTCAAGTACAAAACTTCATTCTCTGTCTCTGTCTCTCTCTCACACACACACAAACTGTCCTATCCTCCAAACCCAGCATCCTTCCAGGCATCACTGACTCCCCTGCAACAGGTGTTTTAGCCTCCACTTGTCAAACACACAAGAAAGGATGAAACACCAGCTTCTCTGTGGGTAGCCACCCTCGCAGGTGTGGAAAGTGTCACTTTAATCACATCTTTGAAGACAGGAATCCTAGTGTAGGCATCTTCTGCCACCTGCCATGGACCTCAGTATAGTATCCAAAGTGTATTAGGAAGGACCTGCAAATTCTCAGCAAGGCTCCAAGGAATCCTGGGCTGCCCGGGGCAGCTATGCTTGCTCGGCTCACCCTAGGATGCTGGGGTTAGTCGACAGCCACCTGCCTTTGGGTTTAGCACTGCCCACCCTCTGCCTGGCATTCAGTGAGTTGGGGTGAATGACACTGCACAAACAAGGAGCACAGGGGTGCCATCGCGGGAGACAGTTGGAGCTTTGCACCAACTACGAGGCAGCAATCTAGGTGTCTGCAGGTTTCAGGTGATGCCTGTTGACACGAGCATACAGAGGAGAAAAGCAGCTCTGGATTTAGAGCCAGGGGATCCCTGTATGTCTCCTACAGCAGGTCATGGCTAACAGGATGGGAGGAAGTCAGGCCAGGGCCGTCCTACCTTTTAGCTTTTCTGCCAGCAGGGCAGCCTCGTGCTCTGAGTAGTGCATGATGGCTGGAGGCGATGGCGGCCGCAGCCGGTCCTCCTCCAGCTTGCGCCTGTGCCGCTCTTCACGCGCACGCATCCGCTGCTTGCACTCCCATTCATAGAAGTCGTCCCTGGCCTGCGCAAAGTCCACATGGAGGCGGCCTGAGTCCTTCTTGTCGGTGCTGGAACCTAATCGCATCCGGTAACCTGAAACCAGCAGAAAGTTTGGTCATGGCACCCTGACTCCAGAGCTACCCTGATTTGCCCCAGGCCTTCAAGGTGCTGGCTAAGTGTCCTTCCCAATGAAAGCCATGTTTACCATAGGTGCGGATGAGTTACCCTTGCCTGGAGCAATTGTGAAACATGAAGCTACACCTGTTACAGATGGGAGGCTGAACCTACCCTGGGCGATTCTGAGGGCGCCCCTTAAGTTCCAAACCACTACACCTGCCGAAGGTCTCAAGACAACGGGCAATTATCATCACAACTCCTTCTCTTTGGCTGCTAAGAAGCTCAGAAACATTTTTGGCTGGTTCCTTTTGTTTGCTTCCTCTCTATTCTTGCATGGCTTTGATTTTCTGTTTCCCATTTATTGTGACTCTAGTGCAGAAGCCCTCTTAAACTCCACTTAAAAAGATGTACGCGTAAATAAAGGATGTTTATGATGTTTAAAAAGAGCGACAACACACATTCCAGAACAACTCACTCAGAGGCTACCACTCCCTTCTCCCAGAAAATGCTGTCTCCTGATTCTTTGGCTCTCTCAGCAGCTTGCGAAAGCCACAATTACCAGGGCAATTTTGTAATGCTGCTTTATTTCCACTTATCCTCTCGGACACGCAGGAGAGTATTTCACCTTCAATCAAGAGGCCTCACTGCTGCCTGCTACTGCAGCCTGGCAGCACCTCATCTGGCATGCAGCACCACACAAATTGTCCATGCAATCTTTGAAGGCCACAGGAGCCCCTTGCAAGAGCCCAGAGCAAGATCAGAAAAAAAAAGTCCTGTAAATCTTTGGGGGATTTGCTGTGAGCTGCCTAACTCCTAAAGATTAGGAGCAAAAACATGATCTGAGGAATCAACAGAGAACTGAAACCAGCCAGCCAGCCTAGTTTCAAATGAAGTAGCGTGGACTTTGAGGTCGTTCTTCAGTTTGGGGTACTCGGATTCTCAGAGCATAAATGCAGGTCCCAGCAGGAACATGGCTGCCAGAGGAGACAGCACAAAATAAGCACTTTTGCTGTGTAGAGCTTTGCAAATGAGATACAACTGTAAAATGGCTAGGGTACGCTTCACTCGTGTTCAAGATCTCATGGTAGATTTCGATGATCCGCTTAGCACTTTGAGTTAAAGCATGGTGAAAAAGCCTTGCTTTTCCCCAGTAGGGCACTTCATACCTTTGAAACACTGTAAGGAAGACACACATCTCACTTCGGATCCCTCCAAAGCCACTGACCCCTTCTCCAGTGTTATCTGAACGTGAAAAGATATAGCAGTACCAATCAAAAGCCAACTATGTCCTCACAGTTGAACAGGATTAATGCTCAAGCCAAACGTGTCTTGGGTGTGTGCCATGCTGATGCATACATAACAGCAGGTGGAGGCTGGCCAGGCATCCCACCAAGTCCAAGTCACATAGCCTGCACACATTTGGAGAGTCACTTTCCAAACATTTCCCCTTCTAGAAGCGGCCTCTCTTTCACAAAACATCATCATTAAGGCCTTAAAAGAGACCCTGATGAAGCTGAGACTAAAATTAGCTCCGCCTTCCACGTGAATGCCATCCTAAAATTAGACAGGCCTTCCTTCCAGCTGGGCTTGGGCTAGCAAGTGCTGGCAGGCAGGAGAGGCAGCCTTCCTTCCTGCCTGCCCCTCCAATTAATCTGCCTTTCAGACAGCCCAGGACCAATGCTGCAGTCTCTGGAAGGGGTTCAAGGAAGAGCTGGGAGGCTTTCCTCCACTCCTAGGCAAGGAGATCAGAGGTGAGACCTTTGCTGCCATCTCCTCATGCTCCAATGGGGCAGACCCAGGATCCATGGCAGCCTTGCTGAGAGAAGCAGAATCATCAGGGCCCAGGCTGGGTGAAGCACAGCATTTAAGCACAGCATCAAATAAAGGGCTACTTTCTATATGCTTCAATCTCATGATCCTTCTCAGAGTCTCATGGGACTTCTGAGTGGGACTCGACCTTGTTAGATTAGTTGGGTTAGAGTGGAAAAGGAGCTCTGATCTACCATTACTCTCCATCTGAATCAGGTGGAACGGTTTTATTTCTGAGCCATAAACTGGAGCCCAGGTCCTGAGAGCAGTGCCCAGGGAAACAAGAATCAGTTCCTCCTCAGGCTAACATTGTTCAAAACTAGCCACTAACAGACTGGCTCATGCATTACAGGTGCCCTGTAACACCAACTGAGTGATTCCTCCCAACAAGCCTACAAGGGAGTGCTGTTGACTCTTTCCATTCTGCAGATGGGAGGAGGAAGGTTGGCAGACAGGTTAGGTAGACCAAGGCAGGGAGAAATCTCCTGCCATGTACTCACCAGAATCTCCAACTGTCTAGTGGTTATCTGTGTGCTATAAATTGTCTAGCGCATGCTTTGTCTCCATCTCTCCATTTTGGAAATGCTTTCAGACATTTAACAAATGACTCACCTGTGATCCACTGTCTTCTTTACTGGCACCAACTGCCCTTTCTCCTATCAAAGTCTGCCCTGCTGGCTTGCCACTGGAAGAGGTGCAGTACTTGGGACCCCAGAGTCCTTCCTCCAGGAGGTCACTCTAAGAGACATCCTCTCTCTGAGCAGCAGCTGTTGACTCTGCTGTAACCACCGGCCAGCTGGAATTAGCTTTGGGGATGGTGACTTACAGTGTTACTGCAGTAAGCCTTTTGAAGCTCTCTGCTTCATGTTCTAACTCAGGGAAGTCTATGGTTTGGGCACAACCTCAGAATGTTGGGATGAAAAACAGTAAACCTGGCAGTGAAGCACAGATTTTTTGTTGTTGTTGTTTTCCCACCTTCCTCCATTAGCTTCAAGAGTAAGGAGGTGGAATACTGAGAGTGATGATCTGAGGACTGTAGCTGGAGCACGTGCAGGTAGAACAAAACTTAGAATGCAAAACTATGGCCTTCCAAAACCACACACCACCAGTCAGTATTAGCCTTGTAAGATTTAAGTCTGGCAAACGCCTCAGTGATGGACTCTACAAGCTTGCTTCAATGTTAATGGAATGGCAAATAGCATCAGGCCCGAATTCAACATTTAACAAAAACTGGCACCAAGGAACAAGGCTGGGCTGGGAGTAGGATCACTGAACTACCCAATGCTGAGTGCCATAGTGAACCTCCTTCTGAGGAACGTGGAACTAACTGCTCTCCCACGGGGAATTCTTGCTTTCGTACTCTAGGGTCTAGAAGGTGAATCCACCTTCTGGAAAAGAAAATCTGTTCTGAGCCAGTCCTTCACTCCCCATGCCCAAGAGGTTGACATCCAGTAATAATAATAATGGCACTCAGTATTCATGATAAACCTTCTCCTCTAATAAGCACTCCAGAGCATTAATTAGAAACACAAAGGAATTTCTGAAGACTGGTGGTGGAAAACCTGAGGAGAGGTACGCATTTGCAGATTTTCATAGTACTTCTGGCAGCCAAGAGAAGAGGCACAATGCCTCCCTTTTCAGTCCCAGACTTTGAGGACTTTATTCTGTCATTAAAGCAAAAGGGGATACATGCTTATATTAACATCACAAAGCAAACAGGATGCCTGGAAAAACCCCTAAAGGGATGCAAAGTACCAGAAAGGTAAATGGCTTTATCCACCATGAATTCCTCTGCAAAGCGGATGTGGCAAAAGTTCTTCTTGCTCTTCCGGATGGCTGTGATGTCACCGCACTGCTCAAAGACCTCTTGGATAATTTCCTCAGTTGCATTTTCAGGCAATCCTCCCACAAACACGGTCTTGCACCCAGGAGGTCGTTCTCTTGTGGACGGAGGTGGGAGATCTGGTAATCATAGCAGAGCAGAGAGTTTTGTCCTGCATGCCTTGGGGTTTCTTCCTCGGGTCCCCAACAAAAGGTAGCCTTGCTGGGCAGCATGCTCCAGCCCGAGCCTGGCTCGGTTTCTGTGCCAACTCACCTTTGTCCCAGGCCTGGCTTACTGGCTTTCCCACCCTACTTCCTCTGCCCACCCCTACCAACCTCTGCTAAGTATATTCATTTGTACAGCAAGGGGCTATACTTGTCTGCAAACAATGAGCATGTGTGCGTGCAAGTCACACAGAAGCCGGAATATGGGGAGAGCAGGGAACTTCAACTACAAGACGTGGTGAAATGACAACATGATGAAGAACCTCGGCTTGCTCTTGGCTTTGTCTTGGTGCCAGATAAAGAAGCAGCAAGGTAGCCAGCAACAGGGGAGGCACAACCCAGGGAAGCCACACAATACTTACTTGGCTGTGAAACACCGCGCCTGAAAAAACACTTTGTTATTATTAACATTTAAATGCGCACACTATTAAATGTAGGGGAGGCTGCACAAAAAGATAAAAGTGCACATTGTCACAACATTTTACCTAGTTTATATGTAGATTACTAAAGCAATCTCCTGAAAAGTCCACTTCAAAGAGAATACACTTGATTAATAGGAATTAAAAAAAAAATCCTAGCTTCAGAAACCCAAACACTTAGTATCTGGGGCTAAATTAAGAAAAAAAAAGGCCCATTGGCTTCATCAATTATATGTGTCCTTCAAGCAAATGCAATTTGGTCCAGAAATTCTGGGAAGCAGGTTGCCCCCGCCTCCATATTGCTAGCTGCCAAATTAATTCCATTTGCTATCCAGCAAAGCACATTTTAGAATTTTTCTCCCACACATGTGAAGACGGATGCAATGGCTTCTATATTTCACAACAGGTTCTGTAGCAAATTGTAGGAAAAAAGAAAGATTCTCAATGATCTTTCCTTGTATTGCATGGGGTTTCACGGAGTTGATCATTCAGCTCCTGGATAGACCCTTGGGCACATGTGTACACGTGTTCTATCCAGTGACAGAGGCGTTCCATAGAATGCACTCTTCCTCTGTACAGTTTTCTATGAGCCATACCTCAGTATGAGTGCAATGTTATTTCCAGTTTTCAAAAAGAAAAGGGGGTGTAAGATGTGAGCCAGTGCTTCTGCTCAGTGTTACCTACTTGGATTCTGAGGGAACAGAGTACAGCTCTTGCAGTGGATGATTTCTTTGACCACAGCCACCTCGGTTGGTGGAGGTGGTGGGACTAGCCCCAGGCCTGGGATCATTGGGTTGATGGGGGTGATTCCAGTCATCATGTTGAGGCTTGGATCAAAGCCTGGGACACAGATTGAGTCTGCAAAGAACACAGGATGAGATTATGGTTGGGTAATCTTAAATCTGTTGTCGTTTTTGTTGTTGCTGTTTTCTCATAAAATTTATTTGATTTTTACATTTTCTATTTTTTTCAGGAATTGCTCCTGGCATAAGATACAGCATTACTGAAAATTAATTCAGAAGAAGAGAGAGAGAGAGTGAGAGAAAAAAGACAAACCTAAACTTACATGAAAAAGGAAATTATGTTACTTAAAATACTAACACAGCAGAACTGAACACAGCGTGTTAATGTGTAAAACCATGCACCGTGAAGCTTCCCTATTACCATGAATGCCACTTTCTGTTTCTTCACGTCCTGTGTTGTTTACATTGCCTTATGACCCAGAATGTGGAGAGAATATCATTTAATATTGAAGTGCCCTACGAATTTAATAGTGAACTTGTTTTTATAACAGGAGTCTTCTTAGCCAAGTGACCTACATTTGGGAAAGTTTAATATATATGTACATACTTTATAAGGATGCATTCAAATCCTACCTAACTTATTTCTCCTGGGGTACATGGGGAGCAGGGAAGGGCAATGACTGATTATAATTACCATGTCGTAGATATGTACAGGCATGAAATTGGCTATGTATATTTCTTAATTCTTTGGCTAATCACACTTCTTTCTTATAATTCAATCAACAAACCATTAGCCCATCCTCCTGAAATCTGTATGACTTTAAAAAAAAATGAAAGCAAACGAAAAGGGCACAGAAAGCATCAACTTTTCAGCAGAAATATAGAATTGTTTTTCAGCATGATGATGAAGTAATTCCAAAGGTTATATACAAGAGTTTATTATTTTAAAAACAAGATAATAGATAAAAGTGTCGGTGAAGACATGGAATAAAGGGAACCCTTAGAGATTGTCAGCATAAGTGTAAATTGATATAGCAGCCATTGTGCAAAATAGAGAGTTTCTGAAAAATGATCCAACAATGTCACCATTAAGCATATAGCAAACACAATGAAATCAAAGATAACATGGTCATTTCCATGTTCAATGTATTTGCAAAAGTCAAGATATGCAATCACCTATGTGCTTCTCAATAGATAAATGGATTAAGAAAATGTGGTATATGTAGACAGTAAAATACAACTTGCCCATACTAAGGAAGGGATTTTATTTTCTGACAATGTGAATGAAACTGGAGGACACACTGTTGGGTAAAATAGGCCAGGCACAGAGTGCCAAACACTGCATGATCTCACTCATATGTGGACTCTAAAAGTTGATCTCATGGAAGCACAGGACAGGGTAGAATGGTGGCTAGTAGAGGCTGGGGAATTTAATGGGGATAGAGAGTTGGGAAAATATTGGCTAAAGGCTACATAATTACAATTTGACAGGAGGATTAAATTAAGAGATCTTTTGTACATGTGGCCATAAGTAATGGCGCTATTGTATACTTTTCTATTTTTATTTACATGAAAGGCAGAGAGAGGCGTACACACAGGGAGATCGTCCATCTATCTGTTGGTTCACTTTCCAAATGCTGTAACAGCCAGGCTGGCTGTAGCTGAAGGGCAGGAGCCATGCAATCAATGCAGGTTTTCCACAGGGACTGCAGGAACTCAAGCACCTGAGCAAGCACCTGCTATCTCCCAGGGTGCACAGTAACAGGAAGCTAGATTAGAAGACGAGGCAGGACTCAAACCTAGGTACTCTGACATGGGATGCTGTAGATCCAAGTGATGTCTTGACCATTATACCTGACCCAGATACTATATTCTTGAAACACACAAAAACAATATATCAGTATTCTCACCACAAAAAGAAATGTTAACTGAGAAGTTGTACATTTTCTTATGAGCAAGATTTGGTCAATCTACAATTTACAAGAATTTCCAAGAAATCTTGTTGCATTCAAGAAGCCTATGTCATCTTAATCCATAAATTAAAACTTACAAAAATTAACACCTTGCTAAGGAGAGAGGGTGATGTTGAAACACTGTACTGAGTTTCTGGTGCAGACATAGGGGCTTTCTTCTCCTGAGAGTTTTTCTGTTTGTAGAAAACATCCCCCCCCCCCCCATGCATAGGCTACACTATTTGCTTAACCTAAGTTGCAAGGTAAGTACAGGGTCAGGTGATAGGACCGCTATACCCTCTGTTCACTAAGAAACTCCAGAGGATGTAGAAGGTGTGTCCCACACCTTTCCTTCCTGGGATGGGATGCTCTGGTGCATTGCTCCAGCTAATATGGACATTTCTACTCCTTTTCTGGGTTGAATGGAATCAAATGTGTGATGTTCATACCCACCCTGAAGAAGAAATGGGTCCCATTTTCTAGAAAGTATACAACTGTAACCTCTGTAAAACGAGGGTCTTTTTTCCCCCAACTGTAAATGTAAATGCAAAATATGTGTGTGTGTGTGTGTGTGTGTGTGTGTACATTCTAGATCCTCCCTCTATAATATTGATTCTCAGTTTCTTCTGTAACATGGGGCTATGTGATTGAGTGACTCCTCTGAGTACCAGCATTCCAAAACTCAAAAAACATCAAAGCTTAGAAGTGACTAGAATAAGATTCACACTCTGGTTATTCATCAAATTCTCAAAAATTCTGACAGGCATTATTCCTATTTTATGGTAAAAGAAACTGAGAATAAAAACAGTTAAGTGAAGGGCCTGGACTGTGGTCTAACAGGCTATACTTCCTCTAATGGTATGGGCATCCCATATGGTTCAAGTCCCAGCTGCTCCACTTCCCATCCAGCTCCCTGCTAACAGCCTGGGAAAGCCATGGAGAACAGGCCAAGTTCTTGGGCCCCTGCACCCATGTGGCAGATCTGGAAAAAGCTCCTGGTTTCAGACTGGCTCAGCTCTGGCCATTGAGGCCATTTGGGGAGTGAATAAGCAGGTGGGAGAACCCTCTCTCCTCTTTGTAACTCCACCTCGCAAATAAAATAAAAATAAATCTGTGAAAGAAAAGCAGTTCAGTGAAAATTTTCATACTGCATAAAGCAAACACATGGCAGAGCCAGAACTAGGCCCAGTTCCCTGGCTCCATGTTTATACAGTTGAGTACACATGGGACTATTTCAAAACTTTCCACTTTGGATGACCCAACCTGATCATTCACCTAACACATTTCACTACTTCTAAACATTTACTTTGTCTCCCAAATAGAAAACAATTCACAGATTTTCCTGCTGATCCAGATGCTAAGAGCACATCATACTGCAAGATGGAGTGACTTTCAGCATCGTGATCATTTGTTTAACATCTGGGCATCTGAGGTGAACACATCAGAAGCAGAAACATGAACAGTGGGAATGCTGGCCTGCCTCTGCCTCTGTTCTATCTCACACTGTACAGGAGCCTCGTCTGTGTCTTCCCTGGCCTGGCCCTCACTGCTGGTTTCCAACCCAGGATAATTTAAGGCTGAAATCTGTTAGGATTGCAGACCATGGAATAAGAGCTCTGTGAAAAAACAGATGTTTTCTTACAAAGGAGATGAGAAGCTCAGAGCTTGCATTCTCTGTTAATTGTAAGAGAATTCTGTTTTCTTTCTGAAGGCCAAATAAATACATCATGTTGTCAGAAGTGGGGACAAAAAGACACTGTTCTTGAGCAGAAAATTTTACTCTATACCAAGTGTTACTTTGCTTTCCACAATGAAGTGGAGAGGTTATGAGGCTGAATGCAATCTGCATGGTGAGAGCAGTAACTTGAAAACAGCTTAGGAAGGAATTAATGCTTAAATTACGCTGGGCCTTAAAGGAAATAAGATTTAGGATTCCAGGAGAGGAGGTGGGAGAGGATGAAAAAAAATTTTTAAAGGTGCATTTGTAGGGCCCGGTGCGATAACGCCTAATGGTTAAAGTCCTCGCCTTGAATGCACTGGCATCCCATATGGGTGCCGGTTCTAATCCCGGCAGCTCCACTTCCCATCCAGCTCCCTGCTTGTGGCCTGGGAAAAGCAGTTGAAGATGGCCCAAAGCCTTGAGACCCTGCACCCATGTGGGAGATCTGGAAGAAGTTCCTGGCTCCTGGCTTTCCACCTCCCGTTGTGGTGACTTGGGGAGTGAATCATTGGACGGAAGATCTTCCTCTCTGTCTCTCCTCCTCTCTGTACATCTGCCTTTCCAATAAAATAAATAAGTATTTTTTAAAAGATGCATTTATATACTTGGAATGCAGAGTGATAGAAAGGCAAAGATGAGAGAAAGGAGAGACAGAGATCTTTCATCCATTCATCCACTGGGAAAGCCAAACCAAAGCCAGGAGTCAGCAACTCCATCCCACTTTTCCTATGTAAGCAGCAGCTTATGAAGTCCAAGCACTTGGGCCACTGTCCACTGCTTCCTGGGTGCACTAACAGGGCAGAAATTCCCAAGTGAAGCAGCTGGGAGTTGAATCAGTGTTCTGATATGAGATCCAGGTATCTCAAGTGATGGTTAAACTTACTGCACCACACCACTGGTCCTAGAACTTTTTGGAAAAAAAAAAAGAAGAAGAACTCATTTAACAATATATGAACAGGGCCCGGCGCGGTGGCGCAAGTGGTTAAGTCCTCGCCTTGCACGCCCGGGATCCCATATGGGCGCCGGTTCTAATCCCGGCAGCCCCGCTTCCCTTCCAGCTCCCTGCTTGTGGCCTGGGAAAGCAGTCGAGGACGGCCCAAAGCTTTGGGAACCTGCACCCGTGTGGGAGACCCAGAAGAGGCTCCTGGCTTCGGATCGGCATAGTATCGGCCCGTTGCGCTCACTTGGGGAGTGAATCATCGGACGGAAGATCTTCCTCTCTGTCTCTCCTCTCTGTATATCCGCCTTTCCAATGAAAAAATAATAAAAATAAATCTTAAAAAAAAAAACAATATATGAACAGATGGAAATTGTTTTCTCCAACAACATAAGAGCATATTATGTACTACATCATTAAAGCAAAAATACAGTCTTCTGGGGGGGGGGACCTTGAGAAAGACATACCCAGGAGGAGATTGAAGAAACATCACAAGCCCTAGGAGT